CAGTGGATACACTCAAAGCTTTACCATACCATATGTTCTATTATTCATAATACCATGGCATTTACAAAATCACTGAAGCTAGACACCACTATATTTGAAATTCGATTTCATGTGTTTGGCTGTTGTTTAGGCTACAGATCACAATTCTATATAATGAAAGCCCCTTTGTTGACAAAACCTCCGTTTACCTTTTTTTGCCCTTTAAATCTGACAATCCATTAAAATAAAATCAGTTAAAGTTAAGGCTTTGAAAGCAAGGGTTTATTGTAATTAATATTTTATAATGTGCATTCCAATTGAACTGAACAATATTGCAAAATATTCTAAAATAACTATTTTTTTATCCTTCTTTGTTTCATTCACATGTGAATAACATTGGAGTTTACTTTTAGATAAGCATGCATTAATTAATTATTTAGGACCATGCCATATGTACCCAGAATAACAGGGCTTCCTCTAAGGATTATGCTTTGGAGTTCTGTGACTAAAATGTCTATGTACAAAGAAAGACATCATTTTGATTTCATAATTCATGTTTGTGTTATTTTATACCTGTAATTTCCCTAACACTTTAACCTTGTAATTCACATCAGGCATATTTATATGCCTGATACACAAATGTTGTCAATAGATCAAATAGTTGCTGAGATGTAATATTACGGAGATAGATAATTGGATTGCTATATATCTCACAGATATCTCATCAAGTTCTCCCATTTTTGTTGCATGCATGTTGTTGATGTTTGGACCACATTCCAAATAATAAAAGACAGAAGAAAAGAGAAAAAAAAACAAAACGAAAGAAAAACATGCTACTACTGTGGACTGTGCTCAAACAACTATGAAGGAAATAGAAAACAAGACAGAACAAATGAAAAATAATAAACATGACTCACAATTGCTCTATGTGAGCCATGCTCCAAACTACAAAAAAATATAAATTGTTTAATAATATATACATATTGTAATTGCCTCATTTTGTCTCATGCAAAATTCAGCCTTTGACTGAAAAGCAAAAAACAAATAACAACCAAAAAGAAAGAAGGAAAAAAATCTAAGTGTCTCTGTATCTTCTCAAGCTTAGCAAAGATAGAAGGAAAGAAACTCAGCTGTGTCCTTTTTAGAAATATCCCTCCAGATGTGCTGTTCCGACGAGAATTTTCTGACTTGAGCAAATATCCCAGGCTTTTTATAACAGCCTGCTGTTTCATCTTCCTCGGCTCCAGCAAAATTCCCCCTGCACCTCCCATTACTGCAATTCCTGACATCAAAGACTAGACTCAGGCTAGGTTGCAAAGGACTCTCAAAGATAATGGAATTCTCTTCAAAAAGGATATGCCATTATTTTCTCTTCCTCTCTACCTCTCTGAGGTCCATAACAAACTGCTTCTGATACCATCACCATGGCCTCAGATCTATTGGGCGTCCTACAGTACCTCCAGCTCTGTCAACAGTGGCCCCGGGTTCCACCCTCTTTGCCTGTGCTGCACCTGATGCCATCTCATCCAGCCTGGATCTGTCCAGTATCCTGCCTTTGGTTCAGTCAGCAAACATCCTATCATCAACATTTATCTTCTGAAATTAAACTCAGTCATTGTCGTTCCTTTTTTAGGTCACAATTGGAAAAAATCTGTATACACCCCAGAACAACTTAGCTAGGGCCAATAACAATGTAAATGATTTTGTTATTTTTAAAAATCCTGTTTCTGTTAAGAAATAGAAATGTTCCACTTGTACCTACTTTAGCACACCATTTATTTGGATGCAGTATGGCTAGTGAAAGCTCTCATGTCTTCATTTTGTGTCTGATTTTACATCAAGGCCAGCACAAACAAAATGGACTTAGAACTGACATAGAATGCTCTAGAGATGACAACTGTTTGTAATTTTAGTTTCCCTGCAGCACATGAAAAATAATATAGAAAAAAGTAAAAAATTACTTTTTAAAACCTAATGTAGCATGGAAGGTTGCTTGCACTTTTAAAATCAATAAATCCCAGCATTAATGATAAAACAAAGAGACTCACTATTTTCAGTTAATACACCAACCCCTCCAGGTTCAACAAACAGTACTCAAAGTACATTATTTGAGAAAGTACTGACTTTGTATACTTAGACTAAAGAGAATACCCTCAGTCTTCCTCAGCAGGAAGTTTATACAGTTTACATGTGAATTCAGACATTCTCAAATGCTCAGTGCTTGCTTGTGGCATTAGCCTTTCATCATAAACCACTGGGCCACTTTCCAAGTATTTCACAAAAGATCTTCAGCAAGGTTTCACCCTAAACGTCCACTAAAATACACAGTACATACTAAACAGTCCTTTTCAATATGCAAGTTAATGTATGCAAGCTTCGTGTTCCATGTTCAGGATATACTGTAGCTGCTTTAAATACTGTTTTAGTATAACAATCAAAGAACACATTGGCTGAGGTTTAGGATGAGAAAACTCTAAAGGAAGAGAGTGCTCTCTGTGCTCATCCTACCATGTGATCCTCTTTCTGCAACATACAAGCAGAGTTTTTTCTGGTTGAGGTATGGTATTGCCACTGCTGCAAACTTCGTACAGCAGCAAACCAGGGAAAAAAAAAAACTTGTTTTACCGAAAATGAACATTTTCTGTGATCAGTTACAGTGTGACTATCACAGATGAAGTACATATTATGACAAACAGCATCCAGTAAAGGGTTAATTTACTTCTTCACAAAAATGTTCTAAAACATAAGTATCTAAAAATGATGAGAAATTAGGTCCAATATGCTCTTAAATCACACTAACCATATTTTTTTCCACTTGATTAGCCTGATCAATTGGTATAATTAAGTTGCTAAATCCCACAAAACAAATTACAGTGTTCAGTTAAGATGAGTTGGCTTGATCTGTTTGTGGACACCTCATGAGAAAATGTTCTTTTGATTGCTGTCAGGTATATCTTCTTGTAACTACATTATAAGACATCAAAACAGTCTCTAAAGAAACCAATCCCAGGTGAAAAGCAGATCACACTCAAGTCCAAATGCAGCAAGTTCTACAAACAAAACTGATTTTCCTAAATTCCATTGAACCAACATTCACAAGCTGCATTTAAAACTATTCATTAAAATATTGTAAGTGGCATACTTTTTCTACAAGAATACAATTATTGAAAACTAAAAATGCATTTTGAATGTGTCATTTTAAGGGTTTTTTAATGTATGTAATTTCAAGACATAGCAGCATTAAATCTAGTGTTTATTTGTATTTTATGTAAGTTGTTTTTGGAAGCCTGGAGATGTGATATGTACTTTCTGTGTTCAATGCAGCAACCTATTGATCTGTGTTTGGGAAATACAGTTTATCCTGTATAGTTCTGTAGCTAAACTTTAGTAGTACATTACCTCTTAAAATCAATTAACACCAATGTCATTTTAATTTTATTAAATTAAATTTGCAAGTTTAATGCATTACTATTCAAAACTAGATTTCCCCTTGTTTAGTTGTAAAGTTTTTATTTTTAACAATAAATCTATATTTCTTTTTCATGAACGTGTTTAATTAATCATGGAAATATTTGTTAACAAGCTTTTATAACAAAATGTTCTATAATGAATATTTTATGTTTCCATTAATAAAAAATGGAACCTTGGTTCTGAGAACATAAAAAGCTACTCATACAAAATAACTTCAAAGTTTGAACACGCAACACTTGTGGGGTGAAAAGCAGAACAAATAAGCAAATGTTTTACTGAATAATTAAAACTTACTAATTACCTTTGAGCCAAATTGTTTTCATGGGAATAAATAGGTGTTCCTTCAGATCTGAAGGACTCCATGAGGAAAATCAAAAACCTAAATCTATACTAATGTGGTCAGTGAGCAAAGTTTAACTAAAGCTTTAGAAACAAAGTAAATAAACAGGCAAAAAGTAATACTGAACACTAAATGTTTACTATGGATGATGTCTTAAAACCAGCTTTTATCAAATATCAAAATTAAAAATCTAAAAAATAATTTTAGATACATTTTAAAAATTAAAAATTATTTTAATATAAGAACATGTTGGAAATAATCTTAAGAATTGTGGAACATATGTTAAAATTTAAAACAGAAAAATAAAATGTTTATAGATATGATTCCACTTAAATCTTTATTATGTGTACTGGAGTTGTATTACACCTCCTGCTGATATCCTAAGAAAGCAAAGAAAAAAATGGAGACAGATTTAAGTTCTTACCAATATACATTCTTTTTTTTAATTCAATTTACTTTCTAATTGTAACTAAATTATCCCTTAAAAACCGCCAGGTGGAGCTAATAAAGCTAAATCTCTCATGGACAGTATTTGAACTGTCGCCAGAAAATGTCTGGTTTCAAATCCCGGTCACTGCCGAAGGACAATCTTTTTCCAATTAAAAATTTAAGTTGTATACTCTTTAGACTTTTAATAATTTTAAACTGTGTATTACAGCATGTTAATCATTAAACATTAAAAAATGACCTTGGACAGGCTGTAAGCTCAAAGTATTACCATGGTACACTTTCTTTGTAACCGTCTTTGTAAACGAAAATACTTTATTTTTCATTGACAAAAAGTAACACCACAGCATTTCTTTGATCCGATCATGTATTCGTTTTCAATCATACAAAGTAAGTTTTGAGAATCTCCGATTCACCATGCCTTTCACATGCTCATAAACAATATTAATTTAGGAACATAAACATATTATGTAAACTGTATATGGCTGATATTGGTAGTTTAAATAAAATACATTCACACGAAAAAGTGAACTACCACAGTGTGTTCAACAGTTAAAAGCTTAAAGATGATAAATCCTTCTTAACATTTATTTTCTGATTTCAGTACAGTATTTTTCATTATGCTTAGACCTCTGAGGTTTTTCTAAATACAATAAGAAAAAAATGGTCATATGCAGTTTATTTTTAAATACTAATCAACACTCTGTGTTTTGTTTTAAATGAAAGCAAACAACTGACACTATTGCAAATCATGCAATCTACAGCAGAGTAACACAACAAGTAGATTAGTTATAAGCTTCAATTAGCAATAGGGAAACCAGCAGACACAGGGGTACCCAGAACCAGGACTGAGAACAGGTGATAAACAAACTATACAGTATTTGTTTAATTAAGGGGAAAATTACATATATAGATTAAAGACCACAGTTAAAATTATTCAAATTGTCACAGTTATTAGCAGAGCTGTGTTATTAATGTGTGTATAACAAGCTCCCAAAAGACACATTGAAAACCAACATTTCAAGAAAGCTGAACTTTTTAATTTGGATCATTATTCATCTGAATTTTTTATATTTGGTAGACCATCTTAACCTCATATGGTGCATGATGGTGAAATTAATAATTTAAAAATCTGAAGCAGGTGGTTAGACAAGCAATTGCCCATTAAGTGTTTTTCAGACATTTCAGACACTGTCTCCATGGATGCCTAGGGGAATAGTGTCTGCTTGTCAGGTTGTATTATCTCAGTATGGTAAACAGTATGGTAAAGTAGGAAAACTTCTGATTTTGTTTGAATAAACAAGCTTCACTTTTAGCCAATGCAGACTCAAACAAGAAATGAATGGTGAAAATGGCCTTACAGGTATTATCAAAATATTTTACATGCTACTCTTGTACAATTGTAATGACTAGAACTACATAGATTTTCCAAAAAGCTTATACCCTCAAGGTTTGTTTTTATTTACAAAATCAAGAATGATTTTACAATCTACATTAAGCTTGGGTTTTTTTTTATTGGAAATATACAACCAAAATCAAATGAAAGGATCCTCGTAAACAGATGATTTACACTAAATTGTTTTTTTTATATGTTGTGGGCATCTAATATTTTCTTTTCCATTTAAAAAGGTCAAACATTGAACAGCTTAACAAGTACTTTTGCAGCATGTCCCCTTATTTCTTTCACTTAAGGCATTACAATGGATAAAATTTAGGTAGTATAAACGTTGTACTAATTTTACAGAAAGACTAAACCATATTACAATTAAATCATTCAGTTTTTATAGGAAGTAACCTAAAGCGAAGTAAAAAGGAGCATGTGCTATAGGTGAGTAAACTATGTAATCATCTTTATTTGAATGGAGATTAAATTCATTCAGTGACACTGTAACATCCACAAATGCAAACAATAACCAATCAAGCTTACCTTAAGGAGACTACAATTTCATGTGCTTAGATAAATTAATATGATTGAAATCTCTCCAGATCTGCATGAGCTTATATAGCAATTAAAGTGTAACTCGGTTCAGCAATTAGCCTACTTAAAATGCAAAAAGATTTTCTATATTTAAAATTGTCATTAGTTGATTTTCCACTATTAATGTGTGATATTAAAAGTAAAAAAAATACAAGAAGACAGTAAATCTGTTTCTCCTCATTTGAAACACTAAATGAGTTTAAAATCTATTAAAAAGGTAATATTAGGAAACCCCTTTAAGTAAAATTAACTTAACATATTGAGCTATGATTACTTCCCTTTATCAAATCCTCTGATATTAGTAATTTTAAGGTTATAATATTATTTAGTAAAGTTAAGGAAACAATTAATCATTTTTCAGTTGCCATCCTTTATCTTGACCACCTGCAATTTTTGCATAGCTACAGATTCTTATCACTGTGTATTGATTCCTGTGGTCTATTATACAAAACAACATGACCAATGTTCATTTTTATGCCTTTCATAAGAAAATGACAATAAAATAGTCACAATGAGAGAAAGCCATATGGCCCTTTTTACCCATTAGGTAGTTAGTAGTAGTCAATAGGGCCAAGGATCCAGTATCAACAATGTGTCTCAGGTAACATATTCAATACTCCTACAACCACTTGCATAAGAAAAATTGCAAAATATTCTTATGTTATATAAATATATAAAATATTCAAAAAAAATTGCAATACTAAATTATAAGAAGCGGTTAGAAAATGTATGGATGTAATCTACAGGGCATGTGGATTCACTGTCAGCACCGCCCCCATCCCTTCTATTTCTCACTGTGTTTTCCTCGTAGCCCTTTTCCAGTCACTTCTGGACTAAACCATCTGCACAGGGTCCTAAAACACGCACTACACGGGAGTTAGAACTGGCTCCCGTTTCAGTAGGAATGTTGTGAAATGTGATGGACTGTATACCGTATGATCATTCTCTTTATACCCTTACTTGGAGTCATAAAATGCTGGCTTTTTCTGGACTCGGACAGCTGTATTCAGTTCTAAATACATACTCAGCTTTTGGCTGAGGCTCTTTCAAAACAAACTGTGTGTGTAAAACCCACACCAATAAAACTTAATAATTTCTATTTTAATTGTGTTTATTTGAATTATTTTACATTTTACAAGATTCAGAGATTTAGCTTTAGTTTCTGTTCTCTTTGGGAGATAATGTGGATTAATGTTCCACATATTCATTAGAAACAAATGACAGTTCAATTGAGGGTCTACCTTATTAGTGGTTGAAAGTTGCCCAATGGTAAAAGGTGGTTGGAAATATCTAAAACCAGCCAAATGCTGACATGTTACATTTTGAATGATAAATGCACAGAGACTATATTTCCTTTGCATTACACATCTGTGGCAGTAGTGCATTAGGAGCAGTAGATGTGTGCATTTAATTTTCTGCACCTTTTATGAGGCTACTTGCCATCTGTTTCTTTTTCCCCATATATTATTTATTCTCCAGTGAAATCATAAAGTGTTTTCATTTAAGTATAGCAATATCAGAATTGGTCCTGTGAGTGCAACTCTAACAATTCATCATGCTCACATTAGGAATGCTTGTCACTTTGAATTGTATTAATAAGTAACATCCTCTGTAGTTTTAATGTTTGTCTTTAAGTAACTGTCAAGTTCACACTAAAACTATTCAGTTACACCAATCTGAATATTTGAAGCACTGTTGCATTAAAAAAAAAGTTTTCCCTAGTCTACAAATACATCTTTAAACCTCTGGTTTGCTTTGATTTTATGCATTACTAAAATTATCACAAAAAGTAACCTATGAAGGTAACTTCCAGGAAATGGAGCTCAAGTATTTTCGGTAAGGCTGTGAATTACCCTGGAATTTCATGATATATATTTTTGCTTTAGTAAGGAGTTAATATATCCCCGACTAACTCTGTTCGTAGAGCATGAGACTCATAATCTCGGGATAGAGGGTTTGTGACCCAAGTCTGATGCAAGGTTCTTGCAGTATGGGGGTGGGCAGAGTTGGCGGTATCTGCGCGGAAGAAAGACCTGGAATCTAGTTCTGTATCTTGCCATAAAAACTCCATGGAAAGTGACAGTGAAGCTGTCCATAGGGTCGCCATGAATCGTTACTGACTCTACGGCACTCAGCCACCACTAAGGAATTAATGTTCTTGTTTCAATTTACAGGTAACCTAAATCACTTTTGCAACCATCTGAAAAAGTTAATTCTTGATAGAATCCGGTTCATTCAAAACATTCTTGAACTTGGAAATGAGAAAATATTGATGTACTGTACCCACCCTGTTTGGAAAAAAATAACTAATCTAAATGGAAATCTATCTTAGAAAATAAATAATTTCACAGCTTTATATCTGTTGGAAATGACCAATTTTCTTACATTTCACGGTTATATACACAATGTGTATTTATACTTGTGCTTAATTCCCATACATGTACCTTGGAAACAAAAACTTTATTTTCATCATCTGGATGCTTACAGATATTTTCATATTGTAAAAATTGAGAATGTGCATTAAAAACTGTAATGTGGCATTAATCCTTCTGGAAAAAAATAATAATAAGTGATCCACAGAAGGAATACATGGGATAATACTATGTAGAATGTTTTATATTTTCCTGAAAAAAAGCTTTCTACAAAAACAGCACAATATTCAAAGGTTTATATTTAAACACAATATGTGGCTCATTTGTTTTTCAAATTTAGAGAATAATTAAGTGATTCATTTATTCTTTCTTTCTTTTGTCTACATTTTCTTATGCTGGATTTTTACCATTTACATTTAATTTGATACTGCCACAAAATCAGTAGTAACATTTGCCCTGAAGCAAAAGCTTTGTAGATTGCGGCGTGAAACATTTTAAAAAAGGCTGTCTGTAGTGTATCATGGCCAAATTCAATACAAATTAATTAAGTGTGACCCCAATATGATACAGTAACCTTGTTTTTGTGGTAGTATGATTTTGCATCAACATAAAGCTGCAACTGATAACATTTTTTGTTCATAAGGTTGTTATAATATTGTTTATTATAACTGCATGTCTGGTTTCATTCCATTTTAAAACTCATTCTTAATCTAATATGGCAAATTAGATAATTAAAAGATTCTAGCTTTTTTCATTTCACTTTTAATGCAACTGTATTACCACCTGCACACCTTGACCTCATCATTTACAGGAATCATGTTTATGGTAAGGTGGCATGGTGTAATTTGCAGCTTTTTACTACTGGGCTATGTGGCCCTCTGTGTAGAATATGAATGTTCTCCCTCATGACAGCCAGAAAAATGGCTGAAAGTCCAGGCATTCTCTAAATGTCATCTCTAAACTCTCCGTCAAATCCTTGTGTGAGCACTAAAGTGGACTGGCATCCCAACAAGGATACCTGTATATTTTGTCTTGTGCTCATTGTGTTCTAGGTTAGGTTCTGGCTCATAGTGTTCAGTGTATTGAATTAAGCAGTGATTGAATGTGGAAAGGCAGTAGATATTTGACATGAATATCCAGCCATATAAGAAAAAAATATATATAAACCAAAACTTCTGAAACAGATATAACACATTCAAAAATGCATAACAAGGTCTGTTCTCTTTTAAAGAGAATATTTTAGAATGTCACTTGTAGTATTATCTGTATGTAATTGAAAAAATCTTAGCTTCAATGATAGTTCCTCATTTAAGATAAAACATCAGTCATATAAATGGAAAATCTGTAGAACTATATAAGATCATTTGAATTTCTACTTCAGAGATGCATATGAGGAGTGATACATTTTTATTTGGTTTTCACATTAAAATAAATTACAGATTAAATTCATTATCATTCATGACTACAAATTTTGTGATTCCAGGAAATATCACATGATTTACTGATAAAATAATATAAAATCTACCACTCTTAGTAAAATACTGAATTCATGTTTTATCATTGTTAGCCTCTTCCTAATTACACTTTTATGGCAGAATGGGCTGACTATTATTGAATTTACAGTATCCTGTTGTAAGGAGTGCCAATCCCCAGGCCACAACATGTCACTCAGAGTAACCCTTCACCAGATTAGGAGTGCACATTTCAGCAGTCACTGCTATTGGCTTTCTGAACCCCTCCGAGCTTCTGTGAAGCATCAGTGGTCCTCTTGAAGAGAACCCTGCACAGTCCCAAGACCAGTCAATTCCTCTTCCTCTTGTTCATATTGTCAGAAAAAAAAACAGGAGTATTCACCTTTAGGGTTCCCAAAAAACTCTCCATTACAAAAATAATTGTTTCTGTATCCTGCCCTTGAATACCCTGACTTTTCCCTTTATGGTCAGGCTTTCCTTCTTGTGAAGATTCATGTTCCATTTCTCCTCAGAGATGCACATTACCTGGTTTAGCCTTTTTACAAGCAGATTCCAACAAAATTAGAAAAGTCATCTTGCTCTCCGAGACTCAGGAACTTCAAAACAAATTTAAGAACCCTACTTCTAGTGAGTCAGTTGTACTCCCCTCTGGATCCTTCTATCACTAATAAAACTAATAAAAAAAACTAATGCTTGCAAGTCCTTGCAAATCCTTTAAATGTTCCTTTGTACATGTTCACTAACACTGCTGGCTAGTCTGCTGATAGAACAGCACAGAAGTCATATAAAAACTCCTTGGGTAACTAAACTCACTATAGTTCTACTCCTACACTTTCTCCCTGAACATCAGGAGCTTATAAAAAGACCTCCAGCCTATCCACACTTGGCTACTAATATACCCTAAATCAATCCTGTGGAATGCAGAATCACCAACTAGACCAGTCACATCAGTTCTCTATCGTCCAGTGTTATCCCAGTCACACGTTACACTAATTAGGCAATTAAGCCAGGTGTGCCCAATTTATCATTTTGTCATAATTATTGTGGTATAATAATAGTGAAAGTGTAGTTTCCTTTAAAAAAGCAGTTCCATTGCAACTTACTGTAAGTTATTATTTGAAAGTCATCCAGATCACTACTGGCATCTCAATATGTTTTTAATGCCACTTTGTGTGATAGACGTTTAACAATCAAAATCTAAAATAAATTGATAATTACAATTTATACACAATTACTAATGATTCTGTTTACACTCTGTTATTAAAAAAAAACTAAAATATGTTAATGTTATTGTACAGTACGAATAGCACAGGAAAGCACAAACAGGTTAATAAACATTTACTGTAATTTTTTATTAAAATAAGATTTGTGTGACAGCCACACAGAGCTGCTGTACATGAAGGATTTACTGTTACAATTGGCAGTTTTACAGTGTAGTGTAGTCCTGCATTGGATTCTTTGAAAAAATAACAATGGCATTTATGAGGTGCTATTCACCATACTTCAGCACTTGTGGTGTACCACCTGACAAAAATAAACATTCTGATAAAAAAGGTAGGGAATGCTTTAAAACACTCCATTGATTTCATATATATAAATTCAGACAGACATCACAAGATCACACAAGAAATGAAAAGGGTGAAATAATCTAGCACTGATGTCATTCCTCTGAATTTTGTTTGAATTTGTAGCCTTCTTTAGGTTCTTTCCAGCTTGAACTAATACATACTGCTATCGAGATGTTATTTACTGTATACTGTATTATTTCAAACTGAAGAGGAACCATCCAGGGCCAAAATTCTTTTATGTGTTTCTTCTTTTTTAATAGATTTTTTTTTGTTTCAATATATATATTAGCTCTGTTCAATTTTGTTCCTTTTTAATCTGATTCTTCTTTCTTTTTTTAATCATGTTCTGCAATGTGTGCCTATGACATACCTTTACTGAGTAATATCTTCTACACAATCAATGCATAACCTGCTAGATCAATAGGGGAAAAACTAAGGAAATTGTATTTTTGGTGTTTTAGAACATTGACAGTTTGTTTTAAATAATTTTATAACAAATTTATATTGTCTTTGATGAGTTCCTTTTCCAGGCAAACCTTGCTGTTTTGTAATGTTCCATGTAAATTTAAACATCAGAATACAGAACTACAAAAATGAATGTATATATTTATTCTATATTTAATCGAATCTATATATACTGCTTAGTGCAAAGAAACAAGCAAAAGTTGAATCCACTCAGTGAAGTAAAAGGTGTGTCTAAAGTCTTTTTCATTCCTGAGACAAAAACTCACATCTGAAATATGCCATCATTCATGTCATATTGCTATACCAATACAAAAAGAAAATCACTTAATGTGCTTCCTTTGCTGGACAATCACGATTCTTTTAATCTTGTTGTTTTGATTTTTTTTACCTAAATTGTTTTTTTTTGCTGTTGTTATATTTGGTGTCAACCTGAAACATGGCTGTCGATAAAGTATCACTGTTATGTAATATTCTGTAAAGTTTTGTTTTAGTGTCCTTCATTGTACATGGTACTGCATTGTACTTAGTGGTGCGTTTTTATTTTCTTTATGTTCCCTCCCCGCAGATTGGGAGTAATTAAACAACACAAAAGAAGTTTCTATTTTGTGTGGCAGCATTATTCAGAAAAGATTAAGAAAAAAACAAAAGTAAAAACAGACTATTTTCTCAACATTTTTATATGGTAATCATTTGTATTGTTACAGCTTTTACAAAGAAACTCAACCTGGAGGTGTTAAAATAAAAATATAAGAAGCCAATACTAATCAGTCCTCACACCACACCACACCTCTCAACCAAATTGCTATGCAAACAAGTAATAAAGATAATCCTAAAGATTTGGAATTGTCAAATGCTTCATGGCATTTATTTCCTGCATTGTCTACAACAGCTTAATCATAATCATCATCATCATCCCCAAACTTCGACAATTGTTTAACAACAGTAACACACAACAGTATTGTGTGGTAAGCAACATACAATGTTACAGTTACACTGTCCTGTAGTATCCTATTATGTTGAGGATTCCACAACATATGGAAAACATATGTTCCACAACATAAAATGTAAATTTGCTAAAAACAATAACATTCTCTAATAAATTGTTCTTCTTTCAGCATGCAGATTATCTGGACAGAATCTGGTTTCATATCTATGAGGCACTCATTTGTGGCACAAGCTTCTGATGAAGATAAGAATGATGGTAATGGTCTGTTCTCCTTCTTGTTGTTGCTTTCTTTTTACTGTTTGTGTGTTCCTGTATTTATGTTATGGTTCATTCCTATGGATATTAGTATATTTACTTTAGCACAAATAGTCTGGTTAATGGTAGTGGTCTTACTGATTTAACAGTGAAGTTAAATAACCTGAGTAGGATTTTAGCACTCATTTTAATCATCTCTCACATATTCCATGTTTATTTACAACCTTGCTCCAGGACAGTTGTGTAAATACAGTAAAACAATAGCCATTTTCTCAAACCTTTAGAATTAGGCAATCTACAAGGAAGTGCAAACAAGGTCATCCCAGGTGAAACTCAGTTGCCAACATTTACTTCAACACTATTCTGAAATCATACTGTGCATAATACTACAGAATAAATTACACTACAGAATGTGTGAACAGTGATAACTCTAACAGTAAAATAATTTAAGTACTTAAATTGTTTCATGTAGCAAACCTGAATTAATTTAGGTGCACACAATACCTTAATGAGTCCCACAATTAGATTTTTTGTGTGTGCAATGCTAGTGGTCCACATGATTTTAGAATAAATTAATCTTTCTGTAAAATTCACCAGTCAGGCAGAAAATTTCAAGCAAAGATTCAACATTGAAAACCAAGTTATATACTGTGGAATAGTTAATGTATGCAATTAGTAATTTTCTGTTTTATACTTTATTTATGTTAGGATGATCTGTTTATTTTTTCACTTTAACATTATAGTGTATCTTGTGTCGATCAATGGCACAATTTATACAATTAAAAACATTATTATTCCATATTGCAACACAATAAAATGTTACAAAGTCCAAGGGAGGTGAATGCTTTTGATAGCCACGATTGTTAGCATAGTGTCAGTGATCATTAAGAAGCGGAAAGAACCCAGACATTGCTCCAGCTTTGCCTCCAAACTGAGTAAAGCCAAACTGGTTAAAAATACAAATCATCAAATCATGCAATGGGTTGCAGGCACATTGAACAAGTTATGCATTGAGTTTCTGAATGTAAATGAATTTAAGAATTATGAAGCTGTGTGCAAGGAAATGTGGGAGTATAGGGAACATGTATGGATGACCCAATGTTTATGTTGAACCAATATTTCCAGGAAAAAAAAAGCTGTTAAATTGCAGTGTGTGGCTCTATACCTCTCCTACTTGATCTTATTTCCAGTTCTACTGATAGTGTCAGAAATTTCTGGTGCCTCATTTACAAGAGTAATCTATCCTCACTTATTTGTAGGTCGGCTGTCCCACACCTCTCAGACTGAAAAATGGGTACAATTATGGTGATGAAGTTCAAAGGTGACACCCCTGTGATAGTCTAATGATGAAAGTAGTTCCACTGACAGTACTTAATAAGGAGTGCTGAAGGGCATTCTGATGATGAATAGGGGCATATTCGATGTAGCTCTGCTTTGTTGGTTTTTATCATAATGCTCCGATGACATTTATTACGATACAAATCCATTTACTATAAATTGAATATAACAGGTGTGAGCTGTTTGTTCTATTGCATTTAGTAGTTATCATGTTTTTATACAAAAAAATCAGTTACAGTGAAATGGATAGATGTCTGTTTATCACAAAAAAGTCAGCTTTCATGTAACTATTGCAACCCAGCTCCTACTGTACATTACACCTTGTAATTATGTAAATAAAATACATACAGGTATCAGTAATATTACGTTTCATTGTGCAATTCCTCTATATTATGATTTTAATGTCAGTCTATTTACGAAGAGGTTAAGGATATCGTATTTCTTCTAAGTTAGATTTATAATCAATATATAATATTATAGTGTTTATAAATTGATTCATGAAAGCTCTTGTAAGTATTGGCAAATTAACTTAAAACATTACAGAGGTACATAGCTGATAGGACTGAACTACTACCTTAGAGACGTAATATAAAGAGAAAATATACTTCTTATTTTTAATTAATACTAATATATAATTTGTATAATAATACAAATACATAATTCTATACTACATTTTTCAACAATAATTTCAACAATAAAGAATGAAGATGTACTGTAGCAAAGTTTTCTCAACTAGGGTGATGTGACAGTATATGCTCTGTCTTCTTTCACAAAAAGACTACAATTTTCAAAACAAGCCACTGTGAGCATCCTAAGATGTTTATGTAGTTGCATCTTAAATAGCCCCCTGGGAATGAATAAAGTATTTTGAATTGAATTGAATCTTGGTGGTTTGTTGTCTGGTTTGTTTCTTTCTCTTTCTCAAACTCGGGACTTTCCCTCACAGTCATGGAGCATAGTGCCCTTTTCCCGGCTATCTCTCATACCTACTAGGACGAGAGCAGTTCTCTCCTATTACGTTTTGTACTCAGGGGTGTGTACACATATCCAACCCATTTTTGTAGATTTCATTTGCAAATAGTTTCGTAATGTTCATAATGTTTGAGCGTTTACAGTAGGTTTCACTTGGAGGTTGTGTGTTATGTTTAATGTGTATTTTAGGTTGTTAGGCCACAAAATGTGTTACTTTGGAAATGGTGTGTAGACTTTCTGTAGGCAGCATATGTTTAGATAAATGAATGTACGTTTCTATATTACAGTTTTAGTTAAACCTTAAAGGTCTGTATGGTTTGTCTAACTTAGAGGCATTTAGTCAGAATACTACAGATGGTAGCTTCACACCATTGGCTCTTCAGCCAATGGCACATACACCAGATGTCTGAGCTTATGTCATACTAAGCAGAATCCCTGTTTCTCACATACTTAGCAGAATATAACACACCATTGGTAAGTTGTACTGTAACTAACTTGCCTTATGATGTTCTCAGCATAGAACACAGACCAGTGCTTGGAGAATTCTGCATTACAAAGAAAGGAAGAACTGACATCAAAGAAAGAAAAAGAAAAGCTGCTATGAATGCTTTGTCACAACCAATCAATAAAATAATGTGCCATTCATTAACTTTTCTAATAACTCTTTCTTGGATCTCCAAAATCTCTAAGGAATATTAACTTTAAATTACATCCACACTGATGAAGTATTCTAAAAAAATAGGATTTTTTCCAGATCTGTCCGTTTTCATACATGCAGAATATGATTTTATGACTTTATGTCACGAATTGAGGCACAGAATGAAAGCTATACTGGAGCGACTTGAGAATAAGACCCTCGAGTGGACCAACAAAATTCCTAACATACTGTTAATTGTATTGAAAATCTGCGAGAGAGCTTGAGCAAACATGCCAACAACAATGAGCATAAATTGCACAAAGCCAGAGGACAAGGTTGGTAGAGACTTTCCCAAAAAGATTTGAAGCTGTAATTGCTGCCAAATACTGGTTTCATATTTTGTTTTGTTTTTTTGCAAAACATCCACATTAATGATTATAACATTACAATTTTCTAATCTGCAGCACATTTGACTGATGGGTTATATATTAGTTTGCGAAAATTCCTGGATGTTACGACCCCAAGTGTCTAGGGGAAAAGGGGTGTAACATTTAGGATAATTCTTTTGGAAGCAGGGGGGGGTTGGTGAGGGACTAGGAAGTATGATAACAAGGGTAAGGAACTAGAGTGGTGCCAAAGGAAAGAAAATAACAAACAAAAATGGAGCTGGCTAGGACAGTGAGGGAAAGCTAATCTGACCACAAAAGAAAACCCGAAACACACGGTCTTCGGCGTCTTCAACACCCTAGCTAACCTGCACTGACTACCCAAAACCATACAAGACAAACGGCACTCACCCGTACTAAACTAGTGTACTAATACAAAATCAACTAAGTATGTAAGTGTACCCAACAACTTAAACTAACCTTATATACAAAAGTTCACACAAAAACACAAGTGAACCAGAAAGACAAATAAGGGAAAACAAGAGTAATAAATAGGAGCAGGGTACAAAAAGAACACAAAAGTTGAACATGTAACACTGGGGCAAGGTAATGACAAAACAAGGATGAACACACAAACAAACGAAAGTACAAAGAAACTAACGTAAATCCAACAAAACAACAAAGCCGAAGCTATACGAAAATACACACACACAAAGCAAAACAAACCAACAAACGAAGCCGAAGCAATAACCAGGAGCGAAGCGAAGCGAAGCGATAACCAAAACCGAACGGGACCGAAGTCAAACGAAAGGCCTCTTCTTTCTGAAAGCCTCCATGTTATATAGTAAATAAGATGTGTTCTGATTGGCTGAGGCTAATTAATGATGACATCATACTGAAACAGTGGAGTGATGGTGGGCCAATGGGGAAGGGAGAACAATCAAGGGTCAGCAGTGTGGAACATAGAAAAAACACACACAGAACACACACTGGGACGTAACACCCCCACCCATAAAAACAAACATCTAATGTTTGGACAAAACGAAATCAAAAAGAAATCAAATCTTCTTTATATTCTAGAAAGGGCGTCCGCTAACACATTTTCTGCCCCTCTCTTGTGGAGAATTTCCAGATTATAGTTCTGGATAATCAATGACCAGCGCATCAGTCGCTGATTTTGATTATACATACGATGCAGAAACACCAAAGGGTTATGGTCAGTGTAAACACTTACAGGTAGGTGGCTAGAACCTACATAAAGTTCAAAATATTGCAAAGCGAGTAGTAACGCCAAAGCTGCTTTCTCAATTGTCGAGTAATTTAACTGATGTTTGTTAAACTTTTTTGAAAAGTAACACACTGGATGGTCCAATCCATTCTTATCCTCTTGTAACAATACTGCTCCTGCTCCCACAGCGCTTGCATCAACCTCCAATTTAAATGGCAAAGAGAAGTCAGGGGCAGCAAGTACAGGAGTACTACACAAAAGAGCTTTCACATTCTCAAATGCATGCTGACATTCTTCGGACCAGGTGAATGTTTTGTTCGGGCTAAGTAAACTCGTCAGTGGGTTCACTACAGTTGAAAAGTTTTTACAAAAACTTCTATAATATCCAGCCATACCTAAAAATCTACGAAGTTCTCTCCTTGTGGTAGGAACTGGGAACTCATTTATGGCGGATATCTTAGCTTCTATGGGTCAAACTTGACCTTGTCCAACCTCTTTTCCTAAGTAAGTCACAGTGGCTTTTCCGAAATCACACACTGGGACGTAACACTGGAAAACACTGTGTAGTAAATTAACACAGTTTAATGAAAAATTATCATGTTATCATGTAAATAATCTTAGTTTAACTGTTGCCTTTTAAAACAAAATGGCTAAAATGTCACTTGAAGATGGCTGTAGAATCTTTTTCTGCATAAAGAAAAAAAATGAGTAAAATGAGAATAGCAATTCAATACTTAACACTTTTGCAAAGCAATGAATAATATTTTTGCACATTTACGTAACAAATTCATATTCAAGACTACTTCTGGAAATTAAGCAAAACATAGGCCATTAAATTATCACAATATATCCAGTATCTTATTACCCCAGAAAATAGTTTTGTGAATTTATTTACTCTTTCTGTTTTAATTACCTATTTTTGGTTCATTAGTTTCCTTTTATATGTATACTTAAATGTGTAGGTAAATCTAAGATATGTACACTGGTCTACATTCAGAAAGCAAAAACTTGAAATTTTTTTTAACTGGAATTGTTTTTTTTTTTTCTGATTAACCTTTCATACTAGCTTAGAATATACTTTACATGAAACCTCTTTAACCCCATTAACAAAATAGAATTCCAGGCCAAAAGCAGCAGATCAAATTCTATAAATAATAAAGATGCCATTTACTCCAAATGTATCCAAATGTTTGAAATATATTTATTATAAGCAAAATCCATCACTGCCAAACTGATAAAATGTCTGCATATTATCAATTAGTCTTTCTGCATTATGCTTTAGGGGATGCCTCAATTATCAGTTTATGCCACCTGCTAGTAAAGCCCAATGTAAGCCTGTGCACCTGTGAGTCCAGGCACAGCAGCTGTTGGACAGCTCGTTGACCTCTGGTTCCTGTTGCTAATGGCTAAATGCTTGCTGAGATTGCTCTTCCATCAGGAGGGCAAAGCCCCATTTTTTGAAAACGTCATATTCCAAGGTTTTTATTTTACAAACCAAATGAATCTTTGTACAGTGCACATCCTCAAAAATTACCATAAACATTGTTAAAATTACAAGTATTGTTTTTACTATTTTGAAATAAACAATAACATGGGGGATGGTTCCACTTACAATGGGGCATCTTTTAATTTACTTTAATTTTATAATTTACTAATGAGGTATTTGTTTCTAAAATATTATATGGCTTAAAAAGAAATATGTCTTTAAGAAAATCCTTTTTCGGCTGCACTTTCTGCAATTTTAGTGTACAATGACTGGAAATAATTATATTTAATAAGCAAGAGCATAGACAATGTTACAGTTCAATAGTACATTGTCTTACAAATTTGAAGAACATCAAGATAAGCATAGATGTTATTGCTGAAGACAGGAAGGTTAACTGTTCACTGAATTCAAAATTTAGTAGGTCAGGCCTTTGAGGCAGACCAAGTCAAGGAAACCTATAGTCTTTTCTACATTCTAGCAATGCTAATTCAGAAGCATTTCAAATGTATCACTTTAGACTGTATCTTAATCTCTACTTAAAAAATGGCACCCTCAAATTAGTTATGAATTCAATGTACATTAAGCCTTATCATTATAATATAATTTAGTTATAATCATACTCTATAAATGCAAGAGGTAGCACAAACACACAGCTGTGAAATATTTTATTAAAATAATAAAACAGCAAAATTGTTATTATATCCAATGGTTTTTGTTGTTGTAGGGGTTTGTTTTTAAGACTTTAGTTTTGTATTATTCATGGATATGACTGCTGTAAAACCAACAGATGTGACCCCTGCATTCATTAATTATTGAATTTCAATTCCTTTTAAATGTCAAACTCACTAGTGCATAGATAATTTCTTTAGCTTTATGACACCAAACATTATATGTAAATGTTTCATTATTTATATGTTATAAAAATCATTAATTTACCAAGATCTTTAGGAAGAGTGCATGCACTACACGTTTTGATATATATGTCCTTGTTGGTATATAATTGATCAAAACTGTGAAAATGAAGACAACCCAACCAATAAACAAACATTTTAAGAAAAAGACTTTTGACATCAAATATGTTTAGACATACTGACACTAAAAATGAAAAAAAAGGCTGCATCTTACAGTACCTAAACCTCCCTCCTAAAAATGCATATAAATAAAATGTTTAAATGATGCTCATTTCTAATAAAATCAAATTATTTGGTGTAAAACTATGTTTAAATTGGGAATTATAAAGTCTCATTATAATTCAATTTTCCTACAATTGGATGAATTACACAAGTGTACAATAGAATTTAAATTTCTGAATAATAAGTGCATTAACACATTCATCGAATGTCGAATCGTCATGCCTTTTATCTTGTTTTCTTGTATCTTTTACAGTATATTTTTGTACATTAGCTTAAATTAATACATTGTTTTCCCAAAAGGATAAGCCTTAAATAAGCACATTGTCAGATGACAGAAAATTCCCTTATCCTACACATCCTACACAGAATATGAAGTTAAGCATTTCATCTTGATTGTTATCTTAGTTTATTGATACTGTACTCTATGTGTGGTTATCATGTACTGCATGAACTCAACAGTATAAGGACAAATACAAAATGGTGTGAAATCTGTGGTTTGGTTTAATCTTTGATGTGCAAAGAAGAGCCTTTGGATTAATTTAAAATGAATAAGTGTCTGTCCTTAATCTAATGTACAGTATGTAATACATAACCATATGCACTCTATTGCTGGTGTTAGTTCCATGGCAACCTTCAATCTGTCACTCATAGCCTGTGACTTGTGTTTTCCCAGCTGTGCAAATTTTAAGTGTGATAGCTGCATTTTTCTTTTATGGTCCTGGGATTTCTCCTTTCTTGGGGACTATAACCTATATTTTCTCTGGCTAACAGGTAAAGTCATGCTATCTCTAAGACTGTATGCCAGCCCGGCAGGGACACTCAGAGCTTTCCTGTGACCTAGGGGAAAGTAATGTTCTCTCCATAACCGTTACATCATTGTTTTCAGATAACAGAAACTGATTTGCTGGTTATTTAGTATGAATGTCATTGCAGCACAGGAAATGGAGCAGTCTTAGGTTTTGTTTAGCATAAATAAAAGTAATTTGTTAATTAGATTTGGAATACAGTTTTGTCACTGTTTTTAATTCAAGGAAAAAAAATAAAATTTGAGTTATTAAGCTGTAAGTGTATATTCCATTGGGGTGCATTGTCAACTATCTATGAATATTCATACCTGTGAATTGGGCAAAATTAAACAGGTAGGTGATTTTGTATCAGTCATCTAAATTCTGTAAAGCCACTTAAAACAAAATGCAGTGTACGGTAATCCCATATTTACTATTTAAAATTAGGCTAATGCATTTCAGGCTGATAATCAATTTGCCTTCAAACCATTCCCAGATATAAAGGAAAGGTTCAGTTGTATAAAAAATACAGTAATTAATCTTACCATGTTAAGAAAACTCATAACCAACATATTATTAAAACAAGCTGGACTGCAGTCTTCCAGGACTAGGACAGGATATTGTTGTCTTAAGTGGTAAACAATGTTCTTTTTTCTGTTTTTAGCACTGCCCTTTTAATTTTACAGATATCATTTGGGGTGGATTAATTTTACAGTGATCCAACTATTTATTGAGGTAGGTAATGTGATTTCTTGGTGAGTTATTGTCTAACTACATCAGTTAAAAAAAACAAATTTGTTTTGAATGGTGACTGGAAAATTGTATTTTGTACAAAAATCATATTGTATTATACATTTTGATTGCTTTTTAATGGGACTATTTTAAAGTACAATTAGCTGTAGAACAACTTGTTAATCATTTCCAGAATTTTGATTTCCATTCAACTTCAGATTTTATATTGATACTTTCATATTTCACAGTGATTTATGCTCTGCATCAATCTGTTATGAACATATTTCAGCCTGTCTAAAGCTTGTGTGTCACACAAAGTTTTTCAGGTATTCATTTGCTCTTCATCACAGGGCTGAAACTAAAGATTTTCATAAAATGAGTTTGCTGCCGGCCATTCATGAGATACACTATCATACGATAAGATTGTAGGAATTAATCTGATTTCAGTTGCGAAACTGTATGGAAGTTCAAAGTAAGATCTTAGAATAAAGTAGTGTAACAAAAAGACTATAATTTAACAAAAACTGTCTACCTGTCAGTTTGGTCTTTCTTAGTAGAAATCATACTCCAAAGGATTATTCTGGGACAAATACATTTGTACATTTAAAAAAACAGTAATTTATCTTTATGTGGCTAAAAAAAGAAAAAAAAATTGAATACCATAATTTTTCACTTTATTAGGCATGGTTAAACACCTTTGGATAAATTAATTGCACAATTGGACAACTCTCCAAGAAGCTGAAAAAATCAATTCTTCATTTTAATGCATGATTGCATTGTTGAAATGGCAAGCTCTGGGGGAACACACACCTGCTCTGTGGATTTTATTTTCAAGTTCGTACTGAATATTTTGATTTGTTTTTTGACATCGCAAAGGAAATTATTTGACAATTAAATCACCTGGATTGAACATTACTGGGTAGGAGTCTATATTTACTGTATTGTACATAAATAGTATTGTAGATCACCTTGATCTCACAGCTGAATGTGTGCTGAATTTCTAAGAAAAGAAGGAAGCATAATAATGTTTAACATTTTATGTTGGAGGGTACAGAGTACAGGCAACACAGTGCATGGTGGCTAGTATTGCTTCCGTGCAGTGCTGGTACCTTCTGTTCAACTCCAGTGATGCTACAGTATTTGCATGGAGTTCATATGTTCTCCGTTGTTCTTATGTTTTTCCTCCAGGTGCTGTGGTTTCCTCCCACAGTCCAGAGACATGTTACTATGATTTTCCATTTTGAATCCATTGCTTATGTATTTATACTTGTAAATAAGCATTCGTTTGCCCAGGCTTCAGTTTTATCTAAATCTTTTTATTATTTTTTTTGTTTGCTGCTTCTATAGTGTTTGGAATCCTTTTATTTTGATTCAATCTCCAAACCTGACAACCCTACTAACTACACAAGATACTAGCACATGTAACAATGGGGTGAATGCACATGGAACCAGTGTACAAGTCTAAATTAGGTGCACTAACACAAATGTGTTCTTTAAACCTGTGCATTTTACAGTGAGTATTTTCTTTAATGGAATAATTCAAAATAACTTAGGTAAATCTTCTTATAGTTCATATTGGAGAACCTCAGAAACTATAGTTTTACTGTGAAACCCTGAATGCTTGAAGCTCTTAAGAAGAGTTGATATTTATGGTATTATGATATTTGTAATGCCATTGCTTACTATGTATTGCAATGCAATTGTAAATAGGGACAAAATAGACATTGAGGTATATATTCTTTAAGAATAATGAAGTACTAAGACCATCACTCATTCCACATTTATAACAACGATCTAGATAATCAGACACAATAATCTAGACAAGTTCATACATTACTCCATAAAAGGTTGGCTAGCAAATTCTGTAGATACTATTAATGACAAAGGTATTTAGATATAATTCAAGACTTTGGAGAACACCTAATAGATCACATTTCATACACACAAATGTGTTTTGTTACATGTACTGTAGGTAGCAAAATCAAACTAAAAACAGAAAATAGGCAGAGTGTGTTGGCAGCAAAATAACAAGAAAGGGTTAATTCCATGCTGATAAATACAAAGGAGAAACACAATGTTTCGACTGTTGAGTCTTCTTCAGGTGACAATGTCTTGAAACATAAAAAAGTAGAGCAGGACAAAGTACCTCAGTGTCAATATCCAATGTACTTCTGACATGCTGTGAATGCTGACAGTTTTCTTTTCTGTATATAATACAATGGGCAAGAAAGAAGAGTGGCAGACAAAGATCAGGTGTGTTTCCAAAAAAGGTTTGTAGATTATTCTTTTTTACTTGTCAATTTAAAATCATATTTGTGTTCAAATGTACAAAAGGCAGTCAAATTTAATGTTTTCTTTTTTCAGTAAACTACCAGAAAAATGTATGATGAATCTGAATCAGTGTAACAAACTAGAAATAGAGAAAGCAGCAGGCAGGTTGTGAGTTGTGCTATGAATGTGGTTGTGACTAATGTCGATGCTCTGGCTAAGCATAGCTAAGCATAGTGCAGAGTGGGATGGAGCAGATGATTCATCAAGAAGAGGTTCTGAACCTCTGACTAATGAAACGGCAGTGCCTCCATCCATTTGGACTACTGAAAAGCAGGAATTTCTTCAGCTACCTGAGTAATTTACATTGTGAGCTCCCCTGCCCCAGATGTAAAAACAAAGCAGGAAAGGCCACTCATCAAAAAGTTGTAAAACACCCATCCATTCATTTTCTAACTGCAGTATTCAATACAGGATCATGGATGAGCTGAAGCCTCTCCCAGCAAGCAGCACCTGCAAGGCAAGATGGAATGGTTGGATGGGATGCCAGTCCATCATAGAACTCACATAGGCACAAACACACTTGTTTAAAGCAGAGCTAAATGTCCCAGAAGCCAAATAACTGACCAGTATGTTTTTGGTCTGTGGGAGGAGTATGGGGAGAAAATAAAAATTCCAGGAATTGTCCCATGGTCCCAAAACTGCAAGGCAGCAATGCTAACAACTGCACCACCATGCCGCCCTGTCATGAAATACGCTTGAACAAAAGTGCATTTAGCCACATCTTGTATGTTGGAGAAAGCTCAATAGTGAAAACCCCCACTAATGTTAAATCAATTTTGTCATCAACTGTGATATTTTATTCATGCGTATCACCTTCATGGGGTTTTAAAGAAAGTTGTCTCTATTCCTGGTTCCTAACATGTCATTGGTAAACATAATCATTTAGAGTAGTCAACTAATGTATCCAGCAAAAATACTTTCTTGGTAAGAATGCTTGCCAGCTAAACCCACTTCTAACTTTGGTTGATATAAAGAATAATTACCTTTTCCCAAGCCATGGTATACATTTTCTATTAAGTGTGAATATGCAGACATAGGTGTCTGTGGAAAGGCTTGAAAACTATTTGTTTTCATAAAATTCTTCACAGCTCTAGCACACTAAGCATGTGCATTAATAGCAGTGACATATTTCCTGATAATGATTAAGCTATTTTTCATACTTGCAGTTATGCCTACAACATATCAACAGTGACCTTCTTCCCCACTGGTTATGTGCTGCTGGGAAGTAATATTTCTACAGGAAAAATTGAAAATTGTAAACTTATAGCAATTTTGTGCAATCAGTCCTTTTTTACTCATATAATAAGATAACCATATATATGAAATAAAAAAATAAAGACAAGACTTTATAATAAATATTTATAATTATATGAAAAATCTCCTTAATAAACCACATTCACAATTCATGGATACATGGATTAATGTAACAGATTTTCTTCAGCACTGAAGCATGACATACTGTATACAATCATGTAATTAGAGAAACAGGATAAACATTTGAATTTCATAGTTTCTGTTTCTGTTTTTAAATCTATTCTGTTTTGAATTTGCACATTTCACCTTCAGCTCTCAACCTTTTGATTTCTATTTACATTGTTTTGACACGCTATTATTTTAGATGCCTTTCATGTTCATCTATCAAGTTACCTATCTTCTTTTTTAATCTAGACTTTATATGTTTTCTATTTTTCTATGCTTAGTTTTCAATGTGACCTTTCAGATCTTTCCACATATTAATGTTTCAATAGCTGACAAGGATTTATTTTAAATAAATAAACCAAATAAAAATCTGTTTCTGGTAGAAGTTATTATAGAAAAATAACAGTGCATATAATATACAGTAATATAGTAAAACAAAACCTACTTATATACATATCTGCATTGCATTATACTAGCTAACCCCTATTAAATAAATCATATTATTATAAAACATGACCAAAGACCTTGCCTGCCTTTCTATTTTATTGTACAATTATTGTCATAAATTCTCTTGTGCTCTAATGTTGTTCCATAATTTTGCCTAGGACTTTTAGAGAGCCTTTCTAAAAATGTTATCTGCTGTGCATTTATATGTTATTACAATTGTTTCGAAAACTCAGTTACCACGTATTTTAGCTCCACTTCTTCTAAACTACAAACATAATCAAGCTCAGCACAAACACATTCAACCACCACCTGAGTTATAGGGGACACTGTATTCCACAATAATGTTTTAAGGCATATTGAAAAAAATAGTAATGAAACATATCAGGTTGCAGCAATATTTTAAAGATAGTTTTGATAATACATTTCTAACAACAATGAGATATTGTATGTACAAATAAAGTAGTTATTTTACCTGTTACGTTGAATAAAAAGCTGAATTTGCTTTGGACATTTTCTGTATTTTAATATAAAACACCCAATGACTTTTGCCATCACATCTCAGCAGCCCTTAAAAGATTTTATGGTCCTGAGGACATGCGCTTTTTCTTAGACATGCTACAGAACCTCTCATATTTTTGTGCACTTTGGATTTGCAATGTAATTTGCAACATTGTTATTATATCTTTAAGTGACAAGGTAGAATGGACACAACTGGTGATAAGAGCTATTTCTACATGCACAAAGCAAACCAATAATTATCTTGGGATCACTGCATCCATTTCATTGATTTGTTGTGCACTTTTACAAGTTTTCTTTCAGATGGCAACTTCCAGTCCTGCATCCCTTGTATGTTTTTTTTTTGTTTCTATAATCCACATTATTGGTCATTTCATGCACTATAAGAGGCGGCCTTCATCTATGAATTGATTGAATTTTTGTTTGGGTGTGAAAATGTCAGTTATGGATGGATGTGCCTTATAGTTTTTGTACTGAAATATACAGTATGTAGCCCTCTCTTAATTAAGTGTAGTCTGATATGAAAACTGGCTAGGATTGCTCACAGACGTAGCATTGGCTTTAGAACTACAACTCCCATCAAATGCACTAAGTGACTTCCTGATGGTGTCTATGTCACAGTCCCTAATTTGCTTTGCTGTAGTGTTGTCTAGAGACTGTCCCTCCCAATACTGGCAGCTGGTTATCTCTTGTCTCTGGCACAAGCAGAAGGAACTCACATGGTATTAATATTTTAAAGGCTTATTTTCTAGAATAAACTAGAAAAACAAGGAGAGGGTTTCCAGAGATATTTACAAGTTGGGAGTAGTGTAAATTGGTAGTGAAGATCTTATTACCTGCTTGCCTGAGGTACCTGTGCACCTCCCCCATCACCTGGTTGAATATACATTACCAAACAGTATGCAGCACAGTATAAGTGATGCATACAGTACATACCTGTACATCTACATATAATAATACATTTGCCAATAGCGATTTGTTTAGGAAAAGCTACATTAGTTTTACATATATTACAGTATGTTAGCCTTTTTCTGATAAGAACACTCAAATATTTAATGTCTTGGCAAGTCTCTGCTCTGCATTGACACTTTCTGCTTCCTACCAATTCTTACAGTATGTTGGCAGAGGATCTGGCCAGTATCTTTCCCAGATTTGATAATATTATCATTTATAGCATGTTTTATAGTTAATAATCCTTGACTTTATACCCTTAACTACTAGCCCTTTTCAGTATACATTTGTTATTAAGCCATTCAATTTCAGCTCTCCCTACCTTTTTATTTTCTGATCTCATTCTTTGCCTATTCTATCATTTGTCATTATCTGTCAGCAATTTTGCATGGCACTTACATTTCAAACAATGCTGCTCTTTAAAAAAAATAGTTGAACCACACATTGCCTAATCACACATTTACTATACAATACTCAGCTTTTTGCAAAGATAATTTATGTGAGGTTTGAACACCCACTACCTATTCAATAACCTGGTCTCCAAGGCTCTGCATTTTCTAATATGTTCATAGTCACCCTGAGATTCCATTTAAAATCTCTAATCATCAGACCTAAGTATAAGAATGACAAAAATTAAATATACTCAACCTATTTCTGATAATTTCCCTTCTGTGTTTCTCCAAGAACTTGTGGTTCATTATGCCAAATTGTTTTCGGAAAATATCACTCAGAGTGTCATAGAGCCCCTTAGAGCAGACAGACTTTTTTCATAGATGCATGGGAGAACTTTGAAGTTTTCTCTAAGGAACAGTTCTTCAGGGGAGTCTCCTTACACAATAGTAATAGTACAGATGATACTGTTAAAAACTAACCTGTTATAAACATTCATTGTAACCATATAACGTATTCCCCCCTCTTTTCACTCTCATTCTCTTATCTATCCAGTGACTGGTTGCATTACTGCCTTTGCCTAGGTGACTGTGCCTGGAAGTCTGCTATTATTCTAACTCAGCATAAATATGCAGTAGGTAAGCTCCAGGTACATTTAAAAAAATCAACATACAGAAATATGCAAAATTGACAGCAAAAAGTAATAACAGATTATTAACTAGCAGTAATAATAACAGGTTTTAAAATATAATACAAAACAAAAATTGGAATAACCAATCTTCTGCCAGCTGAAGGCCAAACAAATAAAGGGGAGGCTATATAAGAGGGATCTCTTGGTTTTCTTTGTGGTTTGTCTTCCTCACAGTGTAAAATAAAGGTCACTTATTTTTTATGTTAAGGCTGCCTATGTGTGTCTGATAACTGCCTATTTAAAGATCCCATTATGGCACCCTGCATCTGGCTGTGGCATTAAGTATAATTAAAATATCTTTGTTATGACAGTTCCATAAAATATCAGTGGACCTGCTACAAAAATATATTTTTTTAAAAAATTCCCTAGAATATTTGACTAGCTGAATGTTTCAGTTTAAAATTTATGTTTATTCTGATTCTCATTATTTCAATGTAGTTTGTTTTGCTTTTGGGGAGCATAGGATTTGAGAAGTCATTTTCTTGACAGAAGAATGTTTTAAAAACCTGATTCCTAAAAATCTCTTGATAAAAGTATCTCTACTAAGGTGGAGGAGATGTAACAAAGATACTGGTTATTTGGTAGATATATTTGTGGCCACTGATATAGACATTGAGACTGCTGCCAGTATAGTAAGATTAAAAACGATTTATTAACATAATCACACTTTTCTGATTGTTTTATTCACACAGCAAGGATACACAGCAAACCAATAACCACACAGTAAGGAAGAAATTAACAATCAATCAAGAAGAAGGCTGCACAGCATGACGATACAGCAGAGTATTCTTTCTATACGAGAATTGCCATAAATGTTTTTTTCTAGTAACATTGTTTCTATGATGCTAAATATTTAATTAACCAAACCCCAGGAAATAAAAAAGTGTCTGCTACCTGAATTTGTAATAATTTTGAATATCTTTAATGTGTCAAAACAGTGTCAACTGCTACTGCAAAATGTGTGTAATCTGTCAAATAATGACAGTTTATTTTACAATGTGATATGTATATAAATGCCATTGTCACAAGCCATGAATTAGATGCAGGATCTAAAATGTTGTTAGAAGATACTACAAATGTCAGATCTGAAGTCTGAACCAGAAAGAAATAACAGCAGACTGTAGGCTCACCAACTCCACAAGCTTATAAAGTACATGAGGAATTGTTCTACAATCTAAGTGAGCAGACTGAAGAATGGGCATGAGACACTTGAATAGTGTAAAGTAAGAATATTCAGTTTTAAGTATAACCTTGCCCACAGTAAGTCAACCACATTGCTATACTTTTATATAAGGTTTTAAATAATTTTTATGATCTACCATAAATCAGACAACAGTTTTCAGATGTTTTGTTTTCATCAAGTTTAAATTTCACACCTGCCAGTTATTTAATTGAGCTGTTTATTGGTTTAACTTACAGGAGATGTTTACACTGTTACAGTAAGTGTGACAGGAGATGTTTACAAACTTAGAAGAGTATGGGCTATCCATGAGATGAGCTGGAAAGCATTAGTTATGAAAAATCAATGCAGTAACCTTGCAAATTGATGATATTTGTTTTCTATTCTATTCCATTAACATTTGCTACGTTGATTCTTGTCAATGTTCCTACTGTTTTCTTGGAAGAAACCAGGTGCAGTATAACCACATTAGGAGTTTCTGACTCCAGCTAGTCTAACTCCAAAGTTTCATTATCAACTTTGTTTTCCTGGCTCTCTAATTTTTTGAGTAATATGTGTATTGTAAAGCACTTTAATATGATTGATTTTAAAGGGAATACTGTTTATTAAATACAATATTTCTTAAAAGGTTTATTTCTCAAAGCTTGTAAGATTCCTCTGTTTCTCTGTTTCTCCATTTTGCATACTTTTCAGCAAACCAAATTCAATTTAGTTTGAATTTGAAAAATATTAATAGTGAAATATAAATCAGTACTTGAATGAGCTTTCTTCATCTCAAATTGAAGGCTTTTAAGATGTGACTAGGTTTATCCCTGAACAATGATTACAAGCATGCAGAACTGTAATCCTAGGCTTTGCAATATTGCTTTAAGGGGGTGAGAAGATGAATGCTCATTGCTTTTAATCCTTTCCATGATTTATGACTCCCTCAACGTTCTTCCTTTAAGCACCACCATTTTGCAGTTGTACTGCCTGCCGTTTAAATTACACAGATATCTGCAAGTAAATTATAGCCTTTGTTCGGAAATCATGTAGCATCCTCACCTTCACAATGCCTTTGTTATGCCTGCACCACAAAAGTCCAAAAATAGATTGTCAGGCAACTGTCGGGCCATTTAAGATTTGCTGAAATTTCTATGAATGCCATTACAAATATACTAAGTATTAAAATATTTGGATTTATTATACAGTATATATATGCTGTGTGGTAAAAAACAGGTACACCACCATAAGCTACTGTATTATGTGTGAAGTTCTGTATTTAGGCATACTGTATTTGACCTTCGGTTAGTCCTTGACAAGTTCTAATACTAGATAAAACTAACTTAATTTCAAAATTAAAGATGCAACTGTCTAGAATGTGCAAGGTGTCAGTAGGTACACTGCAGCAGGGTCCGTGGTGTCACAGACTTCAGCGTTTGTTTCTCTATAGCTGGCTTAATGGTTGGCGATTAGTGTAATTTTCCATACACCTCAAAGTGGCTACAAACTACTCAAAGGTGTATAGCAAAATTTAGAGCGTAAAGGACGTACCATTCTTTACCATTCCACTTACCATTATCTAATAAAATGTAGAATTGTTGTGTTATTTGTCAAATGAGGTTAGTTTAATCTGCTGTTAGAACTTGGTGTCACCTAAGTGAAGGTCATAAATGCCTAAATATGTAATAAATAACCACAAATTAAGGGAGTGTACTAACTTTTTCAATACACTGTATATTTTTCCGTCAGATTATGAAGACTGGTTCATTAGGATGCATATGATACCTGCCATAAATCACATCTGTTCCATCTCACAGCTGCCCATGAGCATGTCCAATTGATTTCAGAAATCGGATAAGATGTTTTCTTTGAAATACTTTTGTGACCCACCAGATCGCAGGAATAAAACAGCAAAGACAAATCAATGCTCTTTTTTGTTCAATTATGGTGTTGATCAACATTTAGTAAACAGATGTAGATCAGAAACCAAAAAAAAATGTTTACCAGAGTATCAAGACAAAGATGATTAAATAATTACATTGTTGTTAATATCTTAGGCAAATTGAGCAATGCTTGTCAAAGTAAGACCTTTGCTGATTTTTGCTATTAGAAATGTAATACAATGTTATTTCATTTTAATTTATCAATAGAGTCTTATCTGATTTACTGTAAAATCTTATATCATATTTTTAGCCATTTGTGGGTGAGGGGTGCTGTTACAGAGAATAAGAAATTCTTAGAAGGCATTCTGGAAATGTTTAAGTTATGACTAAAACAAATGACCAACAATGGAGGGAGATGAAGGGAAAATGTTAAAAGCAAGTGTTAAACAGCACATTATATAAATCAAGTAACAGATCTGGCTATTCATCTATCCATTGTCATTGTGAGGGTCACAGTTTGATCCAGTTATTAGATAATAAATTCCTGTTATATTTGCAGACATTGCACTGCGTTGTGTAGTGCAAACGTGGCCGCATGCGGCTACTGTCTAAGAAGCTTGAATTAAAAGGAGCATCTCACTTCATCGTTTTACATCACCAAAACCACAAAACATTCACAGAAAACCTTTTATCAATCGAAAAAAGTTTTAACTAGAGCTTCACAAAACCGTTTTCAGAACCAAAAAAATAAATGTTCATTGAATCAAACGGGTCCCGTACTTGGCATGTTATCAATCGAAAAAGGACAACTGGAGCTTTAAAAAAAAAAAGACAATCGAACACAAAGTCACTTTTTATCTGATGATGTACTGCCAAACTTCCAAAATGCATTGGTAAGGTAATCAATAAGCCAGCAAAACAAGACCGGGAAAGCAAAAACCAGCAAGAAATATATATTTCCCATGTTTTAACCTTATTCTTAAGCACGATATATATCGAAAAAGGGCTAGACTAACTAACCCACTTCAACCCACCCACCCTTAAGGGGAGGAAATTCCAGACAGTTATTGGCTAAAAGGGTCTTCGCTACTAAAAGGTTAGTATTAAGACTCATCTTATGGTATCCCATTTTGTTAAAATTATAAAATGACTGAGTGAATGATGTGCATTTTTAAGCTTGATATTTTATTGAAAACCTCCATGCTCAAACTGAAAACTTCTAAGGGTAGGATAATTAACATTACATGACAGCAAAACTAAAGAGGAATAAAAAAGAATAAAAAAATATTTAGACCAGTGTAGTCAATGTTTGGTGGCATTACAGTCATAAGTGTTTTTTTCAGTAAATCTCTACCAACTTTGCAGTCTCTTAGTGCAGTTTGTACTCAACCAGATTTATAGTTTTGCTCAAGTTTACTCATGAATGGAATTTGAATAGCTCTTTTCAAGTTTTCCTTCAGATTCTGAACAGGATTGCATTCAGTACTTTCACTTAGACATTCAAAGACATTGCTTTCAAAGTATTGTTTAAGTTTTGTCTTGATCTTAGTCTTATTGTCTAATTTGGTCTTCATCTTAATCTTTTCAGATGAGTTACTGATATCCTTACAGACAGAACTCAGGGAGTAAGAGTAAACAATGCCTTGTCTAAAAACTGTTATCTTCCACTGTTTCTCTTTAAGGATGTGTATTGTTTTTCTTACTCTTTGATCAATACACAAATTATTGTAAGAGTTATCACTGCTCAAGTCACACAATTAAATTTTCAGATAACTGTTATTGTTAGCTTGTTGCAAGCAGATGAGTGGGGCTGTGGGTCAGTATTAGATGAGTTCCCCACTTGTTGTGATGTCAGGAAGAACTCTCAGACACCCACTCAAACCTTAATCATGGGAGAATCACTGGAAATGGTAGATAAATATAAGCATTTATGGACTGTTATAGGCTTTAAGTTGCCCCTTTAGGATAATAATTGCTCTATCTAATGTGTACTCTACTACTCTACTTTATTCACTTTCTTAATCTAGAATAACTCCCAGTGTAGCTTTGTCCTTGTTGTTTAGACTATTGTCTCGCTGAAAGATGAATTCTTTTTTCTGAAGCAAGTTTTCCTCTAATACTGTACTTGCCAGTGCTTTGCTCAATCCATGTTCCTTTCAGTTTTAAGAAGTTTTTCAGACCCTGTTGTTGAGAAACAGAACCATAATATAATGCAGGTGGGTAGCTGCGTCAGCATGCATAGGCTGCAAAGGAACAAGTAATAGGTTTATTCCATGCTGAAAAAAAGAAGAAAGAAAATGCAACGTTTCGGCCATGGAGCCTTCTTCAGGTGTGAGCACCTTCCTTCCTTCCTCACACCTGAAGAAGGCTCCACGGCCGAAACTTTGTGTTTTCTTTCTTCTTTTTTTCAGCATGGAATAAACCTATTGTTCCTTTGTATAATATGATACTGCCACCCGCCAACATGGTTGACAGTAGGAATATTGTTGACTGATAGATGCACTATACTGGATTTGCATTTGCATTTGCTTTGCATTTAGAACAAAAGGTTGCAATTTGTTTTCATTTGACCACAATTCTGACATTCTGACAGTTGTTTGCAGCATTAGTTAGGTGCATTGTTGAATCCCAAATGTAGGACAGGAGATGTTTTTTTTTTTCAGTTCCATACAAGGCACCTGTGTGGAGTCACCAGGATATGGTTCAATACATAGACATATTTCCTATTTCACCATTGAACTCTGTTTTCAAAGTTACTGGTGTCATCCCTGACCACATTT